TATCAGGTTTGTACAATACATGTACAAACCTGATAGTATGAAAAATATATTGTATAAAGGTGCTGGTCCATCTGTGACCAAGACAGCAAGTCTTTGTGATGTATCAACAGCCACGGTATCCAGGGTAATGTCAGCATACCACCAAGAAGGACCAACCACATCCAACAGGATTAACTGTGGACGCAAGAGGAAGCTGTCTGAAAGGGATGTTATGGTCTAAAACCAGGTGTTTCACTTTCTTTGTCTAAAACCAGTAAATACCTGTTCACAGAGGTAGCATGCTACATGCTACCTCTGTGAACAGGTATTTACAGAGGTAGCATGCTACATGCTACCTCTGTGAACAGGTATTTACAGAGGTAGCATGCTACATGCTACCTCTGTGAACAGGTATTTACAGGGGTAGCATGCTACATGCTACCTGACGTGAGAGTTCACTCYTCCCTAYGCTGAGGAGTAGAAAAGAGGGAGAAACGAAGAAAACAAGCAGGTAAATGAAATTTATTATCCTCATTTTAATTTATCATGTGATTAATTAATTTATTGCTTATCACGACAGGCCTATACACGATATAACTTTATTGTAAAATAAAAAAAGGTTAAAAACAAAAAGAACTGGGCTTTCAGTTCTAAAGCTGAAGACGCTTCGCTGCCCATCCAGGCGGCTTTTTCAATTTAAAGTCTAGTGAGCTRAGATGCTGGTTTTAATACATCCACCTGTGAGGACTTGGATTCACATGAAAATCACGCTGGAGCCAATCGAACACTATAGCTTCTTAGCCTTGAATCTTTGTGTTTTAGTCTCAACTATAACCATAATCATCTCCAGAATGCACTGGATCAAAACATGATTCTATTACAAACTCACACATAAACCCACCTGGTGGTCAGACAGCAGGTTCCTCCTTCACCTGAGGCTTCGACGCAATAAGAACGATGGGAAACTCCCACCTCTTCCCAGATTCAGACTGAACCAGAAGGAGACCCGAACACCTTCCAACAAGAACACACAAGAACTCATTACAGACTGAATGACATTCGTTTATCAGCTGAAGTATTTTACACCCAGCAGGTGGGAACAATAAACTGTATTAATGATCTTAAAGGAGTTTTAAAATCTTTTCAGTTATTTCAGCTCAGATCTCTTGTTGGGTTCCTCAAGGTCTGCCAAAACTCCAAACTYGCACCTGTTCCCAGTTGTCATCTTGACAGGTTTGTTCACTAATGGTGTTTTTGCGTTGCGGTGGCCTGGCCCAATTCTGGTTGGCCCAGTCCAGGTCTTCCCTGGCTTTTCACAGCCTTGATTGTTTTTAGCGTGTGGCCAGGATTGTTACCACAAGGACCAGTGCTGGACACAGTTCTGCTGATCTAACAGCAAAGCTAACATTTTGTTATGTGGATTAGCGTTTTTAGCTTTTGTTAAATTTCAGCAGTGCTAACTTTAAGATTGCTAACAGCTGATAGCTAGGCTAACTTCAAGCAGATTGCTAACATTGGGCATTTTTAGCAGACCAATTAGCTTCCACTAAATGTAGATTTACTGACTTTAAGTCCAACAATAACAAATAGCTCCTCACACATACAGTCCTGCACACACTGCTGTGTGTGTCCACCAATGCTAGCCTTCAGCTGGAAGGAGTAGGCGTGTAACGCAGACTCCTTGTAATCTGGTCAGAATGGATTATTTTGGTGAGAGAAAATGCCTTAAAGCACTTTTAGAGATGTGGTCAAGCAATTTATATGTTTATTTCCTGGTGGATTGATGATTCAGAGGCACTACAGCTCCGGTTAGCTTTGACTTCCTCTACTTTTATTACCTGTTTAGTGGTTTAGCATTTGCATAGCAAATGTTTTAGTTAACAGATTGGCGGTTAGTGAAGCTTACCTTTTGGTTAGCTGTGCCCACCACTGGCAAGGGCTCTCAAGGCTCATGTGGTGTCATGTTGCGACATCCAACAATGAAAAGCAGGTAAGGCAACAAACTATTTTCTTTTAAATCAACTTCACCAATTCTGCCAAGAAAATTAATCACCCAATAAAACTAAACTGAATTATCCCTTAAGGTTTTTGAGAGACACAAAAAGTGTGTTATTCAGGTACAACTAGGAGACATTTAACCAAATATTAGCTGACATGTAGGAATATATTTGCCTGGATGCATAAAACCCTGTGTGGACAAGAGAAAATCCACAATAAATTGAAACTTTTGCTTTCAATTCTTGGTTTAAAATATGTTTTTTCACAAAAACACSAAGAATTATTTCTCTAGGGTTAGGGTGTTATAAAAGTTGGGCTTTCAGACTTAAGGGGTTGTACAGAGAGTGAAAGAACATGGAGGTTTATACTCATCATCTGATTTTCTGATTAAGTTTGTGATACAAAGACATCAGTTCTCTGCAATGAGCTTCTATGGGAGTAAAATACTTGGTCACAGATGGGGACATGTTTAATCTGGAGTTCAGGTCGTTTGTTTACTAAAAAAAACCTATTTCTTCATTTAAATTGAGTATTTATATTTGTCGCTACAAGCCAGCCTTTAATATTCCTGCTTTGAGTTTATGATTCTGCATCGTCTTGTTTCCAATCACGGAGGAGATTTAACATGTAGATAATGGAAGAGCCTATTAGCGGCACCCCCCCAATCCCACCCCATCACTTCCTGATGGCGAAGTCATTAAAGCTCTCGGAGGTATTGATTCTACTRGCGCACGCCTCATTAATGGACTCTACAGATCTTCCACAGAAGACTGAAGCTGATAAATGAAAGCTCTTCTTCACTCAGCGGGATCTCACATGTAGCACACCGAGAAAATGGAGATCTGTAAATTACTACTTGGTGTCAAGATTACACCACGGAATTTGTCCACATTTTAGCTCCTATAAGATAATCAGCATTATGACTATGACTGGATGAGTTAAAAAAATGGAACAGTAACTTGGACTTATTAGACAGCAAGGGAACATTCTGTTGTTGGAAGTTATGKTTAGAAGAAGAATTTAAAGAATAGATAAACATAATAATTTTGCCAACTAGCTGTTTGGACCACAGCATCTCCAGTCCCTATGAGATGTTTCTGCTCTGCACTGGTTCCAAAGTTAGGCCATTAGCAAAGTGAAAATACATCACAGTTTAACTTCAGGTAACTTGTAGCAAAAACAGGGCAAACTGCTCAATATTTGGTGGATAGTCAGATTGTTGTGTTTCCTCTGTTTGTTAACCCTTTCTTATTTCACAGTGTTGCCTCTATACTCAGAATTAGGGCTGGGTGATATGGCCCAAAAAATAAATTTCAGATTATTTTTTTCATCCCAAATTTGATTTTCAATTTTAATCGATTTTGTTTCCCACTTTACAGAGTGCCTCTGTTTCAGGTGAAAGAAATTTGTTGAACTCCTGCTTTTTGTATCAAGAGCCTTCAAACAGATTATGCAGTGAGATGTTTGTTGCTCCAAGTCTGAGGTTGTGAAACCAGTTCTAGAAAACTGAAGAAACAGTCTTGCTGGAGACGTAGATCCTCTCTTCTAGCTGCCGTATTGTCATGTTGTGTACCAAGTGTCTTGAGGGACAGGTGGGCTGACCTCTGAACTACAGAAGCCCCAAAGAGAGCACTGGTGGGGAAAAGAATGCAGATTTCCCCAAAATTAAATCTTTATAAATGGCAAATTTAAACTAATTGATTAAATTGTTTTATCGCTCAACCTACCAGAACTTTAGAGTGTAAATTTTGTCCAAGGTTTAAAGTATTGAATTATATCCCTACGTAATAGAACACAATCTCAAATGGAWCTCCAACTACTTGCACATCCTGGCCGTAATGTGAAAATTTCTAATTACTTAAAAATTGTAAATGTTTATTACATTTTTAACCCATTGCCATTTTTTTATGATGCAATGCATTTTGGGAATGATGATGATTGGTTGCAGTTGAGACAAAAACAGAGTCAAGCCTAAAAAGGTATAATGTGTGACAATAAAGTTATATTTTGTTTTAGTTTCGGTCTTGTTCTGCACAAAATATGGGTTGAAACAATGAAACGTTTTTTACTAACAATGTAACAATGTTTACTCAAATCAGTATTTATTTTGAATCCATTCYRGTCAGTTGTGTGAACTTTATGAAATACATTAATGATTTAAAGACATAATCTGCAGCATGATTAAACTGAATTTCATTATATTTTGACCAGTATAAAAATTATGGGCAGGATGGGCTTATTAAATTTTTCACTGTGGTGGAAATTGTGGTGGCACCAGGGTAGCAAGGAACCTGTTGACCTATTATTGTTTTAATCATTACATGCAGGCTGACAAAACTGACAGGTTTTGTTGTCACCATAGCACAGTGTCCTTTTATATTATGAAGGCTGCATGATGCTCTGTCCCTTTTGGTTATGAAWAGGCCTATCACTAATTCAGATGTCCCCTAAATTCAGTGTTGGTGTTTATYAAAAATGCACCTGTTCAGTGGGTGAAGTTACTAATAATCTTAGTTTTAAACATGCATTTGAGTGTCAGCATTGTGTGGCACAATGACATGTTGTGTTATGAATACAACTAAATTAATAATAAACAAAATAAAAGTAAAACACTCCTGTAAAGTCACTGGATATGATAAACTGTGTCACATTAATTTTATTATCTCAGCCATAGCAGTGAGTTTAAAGAGGATGAGGAACTTAAGTGATATGTCTCTGAAACAGTTGATAAATCAAGTGTTTATTTAAGGGGRTAAAAATATGTTTAACAACCTGTTAAAACACACCTTAATGCAGGACACTGCATCTGCATCATCCAAAGGTTTCTGGGGGAGGACCCCCTGACCCCCCACTTTTAAAATGCTTCTGATGCCCATGCTTTACAGAAACATACTTTAAGACTCAGGCAGTGATACTGTATATGAACATGCTGATCTCAGAGAACAGAGAAAAACTGAAGCTGAATTTATTCAGAAAGTCACCATTTTCTGTACAAAAACAGAAAAATGTGATGTCTTCCTATTTGTGTGTCTGTTTTGTATTTCTGGCTCCTCATTAGCATCCTGCTGTTTTCCACCCTGACAAAATAAGAGCGTGACTGTTTTTGAATCTGCAATTTAATTTATATTAGCAGGATGTTTGACTTTTTTAATGTTTGTTTGCCTCTTTAAAGGAGAAGAATCTCATTTCTAGATATTCAGGTTTAGTTGTTGACTTATAATGAGCTTGTTGGTTGTTAGATGTTTATTTACACATGTAGACGTGTTCATGAAGGTGTAGCTCAGTAACCTGCAGGTCCTGAGGGGCGTATAGACCAGACGCAGGGTTAGGATAATGATGCTGTTCTCAGGGTCTCTCTTTGCCTCTTCAGTAGTTACAGACAGGTGTTTCCTCAGCTCAGACTGCTCTGCTTCACTGTCTGAAAGCATCTGGCACCTGAAGTCTTCCATCAGAACTGACCGGGCGTGATAAAAGACAAAAACATGAGCAGAACTTTTTGAAGACACAAGTACTCAGAATTCTCTGCCTTGAACCCTTAGAGTGAATAAACTCACCTCCRTGACCCTTCAGGTCTCTACTCAGGGGAGTGTAACCTGTCAGCTGGACTTCCACGCTCTTTACCAGCTGATAACCCACCTCACACTGAACCACGCCAAGTGGASAGTTCTCAGTAGGAAATGCTGTGGAAATCCCGTAAAGTGGATAAATCCAGCAGCTGTTTGAACATTCTTCCTCTGAGCTGAAATGTTTAACAAGAAAAGCAAAAATATAAGCTGAAAAAGGAATTTGTTGTTATAATGTAGAGCAGGAGCCCCAGTGACAAAAAAAACATGTTTAAACACAAAAGCCAACTTGTATATTATAGAAACATCTGATTAATGCCTGTCCCCATGAAAGCAGATGATCATGTAATTGCTTGTGTATGTTATTTACAGGGGTTGGACACTGAAACACCTGTCATGTTAGTGTGGGAGGTTTCATGGATAATTGGACCAGCCCAGTGGCCAATCTTCATTAATTGTACATTGCACCAATAATTGCAGAGTGTGAAGGTTCAATTAGCAGGGTAAGAGCACAGTTTTGCTCAAAATATTGCAATGCACACAACATTATGGGTGACATACCAGAGTTCAAAAGAGGACAAATTGTTGGTGCACGTCTTGCTGGAGCATCTTTGACCAAGACAGCAAGTCTTTGTGATGTATCAAGAGCCCCAGTATCCAGGGTAATGTCAGCATACCACCAAGAAGGACCAACCACATCCAACAGGATTAACTGTGGACTCAAGAGGAAGCTGTCTGAACGGGATGTTCCGGTGTTAACCCGGATTGTATCCAAAAAACATAAAACCACGGCTGCCCAAATCATAGCAGAATTAAATGTGCACCTCAACTCCCGTTTCCACCCAAACTGTCCGTCGGGAGTTACACAGTGTCAATATACACGGCCGGGCTACTATAGCCAAACCTTTGGCCACTTGTGCCAATGCCAAACGTCAGTTTTAATGGTGCAAGGAGCGCAAATCTTGGGCTGTGGACAATGTGAAACATGTATTGTTCTCTGATGAGTCCACCTTTACTGTTTTCCCCACATCCGAGAAAGTTATGGTGTGGAGAAGCCCCAGATATCAGGTCTGTGGTGAGATTGGACCCAAGTGCAGGCAGGCAGGCAGAATCAAAGATAAAATGGTTTATTAAACAAAATAGCCAATGTGGTGGCAAAACTACAAAAACTGAGAATCCAGGCAAAAGAAAACAAAGAGCAGAACTAGAGACTAAACCAAACAATGACCGGACGCTGAAGGGGTGAAGAGAGGCTGGATGAGTGGAAGTGGAAACAGCTGAGGACTGAGGTGAAATGGCATGAAGAGGACACAAGATGGAGGCAGATTACCAGGCATAAAGCACACAAAATACACCAGTCACCAATCATTCTAACTCTGGCAGAAGCGGTGGAGGTGGGGGGAGTTTAAGTAACACATTCCAACACGCAGCAACATGCTCCCTCCGCCCTCCCCATCTTGCATTCTCACAGATGTAGTCTCGTGAGTTTTGGGTGCGGTGACACAGCGCTCTCCCGAGACTTTAGGTTCAGTAGTGGAGTTGTCGATGCAGAGAAAACATGGATGGTAAACGAGCAAACGAGCAAACAAAAACTTATTATTTTCACACAGAGTGGGAGGAGGAGTATTTTTCTGTTTAATTTGAGGCCTATTTGCCTCAACTGTAATTCGAGCATTGCGTTACCCAAAAATTGTAACTTGGAGCGACATTTCAAGACGATGCACAAACGGTATGAGGCAGATTTCCCTCCTAAAAGTTCTTTACGGACTCAGAAAGTGCGGGAGCTAAAAAGCAAGCTTGCAGCCCAGCAATCRATTTTCACTCAGCCCAGCACAAACGGTAAGGCTGCTACAATAGACTCATACCGTGTTAGCCGCATTCTGGCTCAACACAAGAAGTCATTCATCAATGGAGAAGTCATGAAAGAAGCGTTTATTGAGGCTGCAGATGCGCTTTTTCATGATTTTAAAAATAAAAGTGAGATCGTAGCTGCTATTAAAGACGTGCAGTTGTCCAGACAAACAGTGAGAYGGCAATGTGAGGGAATGGCTGTGGATGTGGAGGAGCAGCTAAAAAAGGACGTGGAACAATGTGATAGTTTCTCTCTTCAGTTTGATGAGTCGACCGACATGATGGATGTGGCTCAGCTGTGTGTTTTTATCAGAATGGCCTTTGCAGACATGAGTGCAAAAGAGGAACTGCTCACCATCTTGCCTTTGAAGGGACACACAAGATGGAGAAGATATTTTTAATGTGTTTATGGAGTTTGTTAATAAAAGCAACTTGCCCCTCTATTAACTAATTTCCATAACAACTGATGGCACTCCAGCAATGACCGGTCACACCAGTGGATTTGTTGCACTCTGCAAGTAGAATGGTGCTTTCCCAGACATTTTGAACTATCACTGCATAATCCACCAACAGGCCCTGTGTGGGAAGATTTTAAACAAGAAGGAAGTGATGGATGTTACAATGAAAATTGTCTGCTCCATAAGGGCCAGGAGTCTGCAGAGGAGGTTGTTCCGGGCTCACTTGGAGGAGGCAGGAGCAGACCACACAGACCTGCTGCTGCACGTGGATGTTAGGTGGCTAAGTAGAGGTAAATTTCTGGCCAGATTCAGTGAGATGTTGTCTGAGATCAGGGATTTTCTGACAAGAAACCTGACAAGAAAAAAACTGGGAAAGAACAAAAACTAAAACTAGAAAGACAACTAAAGATGACCCTAGGCATATCTAAAGGGAGGCAGGAACTCAGGTGGGCGGCCCGGAGCTCGGCCGCAGCGAGGCAGGACCTCTGGAGGGCAGCCCCAGGACAGGTTGTGCAGAGGAACGTTTAGGTCCTGCCAGGCTGGTAGAGGCGCAGAACACTCAGGAACAGAGGCCGACTCAGGGAGCTCAGGATACTCGGAAGACTCTGCAATCCCACTTGGGAACTCTGCAAACTTGGGCAGACCCAGGGACTTCACAAGCAATCCTGGGAACTCAGGAGACTTGGGCAATGACAACTTTGAAAACTCTGAAACTGAGGGCTTAGAAGACTCTAGAGGAACCAGCGAGTATGGAGCAGGAGAGGAGGATGAAACTTGTAATGACTTAGAAGACTCAAAACCAAGTGATGATGATGATGAAGACGCAGGAACAGACTTGGATGATGATGACTCAGAGACAGAGACTGGAGACGATGGCTGGCAGACTGAAGACTGGTGCAGAGGAGACTGAACTGGAACTGATGAAGAGACTGGAACTCTGCATACTGGAAGGTCTCTGACGTGGATAGGTCCTCGGTGYGAGGCTGCTAGTGAACTATATTCACCCTGAAGGTTAATCWTGGACAATATCTGATGATYGDCTCTTTTAAATGAAACCAGAGAGCGTTGACAGAGARGAGAAGGTAGAAATGACTCAGCCTGBAACTGAAAATATRGATGGAGGACAACAGAGCTGCTTCATGGAAGAAGAACCTCAGCTTAGCCTGTTGGCTTTAGCATTAGCCCCGATGCTATCATCATATATATGTATTAGCTCAGCGCTACACATTCTCCTCTCGTCACTGAGTTCCTCCATCCACAAGACAGAGAGGGGAACACAAATATGACTCAGCCTGCAACTGAAAATATGGATGGAGGACCTCAGTTTAGCTTGTTTGTCGCGCTAGTGCCAAGCTAATACATATAAGGCAATATAGCGTAGGCGCTAGCGCAAAGGCTAACAGGCTACACTGAGGTTCTTCCTTTATGTAGCAGCTCTGTTGTCCTCCATAAATATTTATCTGAGTAAGAACCATAACATAAACAAGAAGTCCCCCCACACCACTGCTTCTTAAGTTTGAAGTAGAACCCACAGAGCAGATGACAGATTGACAGAGGTTAATGAGTTTTAATAAACGCCTCAGAGCTGCTCTGACACCTGACATGATGTCACCTAACACTCATACCTACCTGAAGCTGGATTTAATGCTGTTGCTCCGGGTGCTGATGGGTTTCATGGTGATGCAGAGCCACGCCTCCTGCAAACCCACAGAGTTCGGTGCAAACACTATGGGCACATCAATGGTTGCCCTTTCAGTTATACGTACTGCTGCAACCAAGATGGAGAAGACTTATTCAAATAGACCGTCAGAAAGAAAACTAAATTGGAATAACCTATGAACAAGTTATTACAATATGTATAACAGTGGTGGGCACAGTTCTGTTACCCTACTAGCACCTAAGGCCCTGTTTACATGAGACCTGTTTACTACGTCCCATTTGACAACTCTGCCTGGTATGTAACTCCAGTGGTTCCATGTAAATGTGTGATTGTTTTGTGTATTCACCCCAGTAAACTCGCTTTTCCAGARACCGGTCTCGTGTAAACAGTGCCTGAGACCTGGTATCAAAAAGTGACGGTGTCAGAGACTGATCACCAGTGACGTGTAAACGAGAAACTGGATCGCAAAATGTTGCGGTTTCATTGAAAACCAGCTCTGTGTAAATGGGTCCTAACAGTGGAGCTAACTTTTAGCTCAGGGGTGCCCAACCTATTTTGAACCAAGAGCTACTTTTGAAGTCGGCAATTTGCCGAGAGCTACTCGTCCAGTCTCAGTATCAAAAAAACATAATTTTGTCTCCCTACTCCTCACTTCTTTAAACTCTGACAGAGTAAAACACCTTGTTGGCCCCGCATCACAATGGGCTCGATGAAGGGCGGTATCTAACTGAGTAATGACGCTGGTGACTCCGAAGTTATAGGGTGAAGGCGGAGCCTGTCACCCAATGTTCAACGTCACCATGTCACCGGTCTAAAGACGTGATTAGAGGTAGCTTCAGCCAGGCGCGCGAGGGCGCGTGTCCCATATACAACTGTGTGTTGCACTTCATTCTATTCCTTCAAGGAACCGTGGTTATATTCATAACCTTACATTAATTTAATTACAAGATATATTAATGCTGTTGATTTATGTTTTTTTACATGACCTCTTAATTGCTTGTGTTCAGTTATGCTGTTAGAGTAAAGACACAGATGTTGATCTTTGACTTCTCAAACTTCTAACTTAGGCCTCGTTTACACGGAGCTGATTTTCAGTGAAACCGCAACATTTTTGTTTGTTGCAAAAATTTGGGTCATACTACCTAGCACTACTACATTGGATACCTTTGGAGTGACCCAGAGGACAAGAGAAGGCCTTCTTATCAGTGACCAGATRGCAGGTGGGAGTTTCGCTTGGGTTTTCATCTGGAACACAAAGAAAAACAAAAATTCATAAATCAGCATCAGAGGGTATTTTCACAAAAAAGACGACAAAGAGCCGGTTTGAAAAGGACCTGTTATGATGACGGTGAGGGTTGCAGGGAGTTCGATGGGGTTTGTGAAGGGAATACTGATGGAGGAAGTGAGCCCAATCACAGAAGACACACACAAAGGCTCCTCCCACTTAGGCTTCAGTCCATGACCATTCAACAAAACACACCATTCCTGCAACTAAAAAACAGATAGTTGGAGACCATTTAAACGTATCTGTGTGCTTTTGTGGTTTCTTTGTTACTTTCATTCTGAGTGTAWGTTCACCTGAGAACACTTAAAAGTAATTTTCCCCCGATGGTTCTCCTGTCCAACTGCAGAAGGACTAAAGCGGACACCCAGATGAGTAAAGGACCATGGTTCCACCATGATATGGGGCCAATACTGTATTAAAGGGAGGAAGCTAATGTCAGATGCATGATAAAGGATGTACCGTAAAAAAGTTAAACAAAGTACTGAGATAATAAATCTTTAAAGAGGCATATGAGTGAGTGTGTTCACAAACAGTGTCTGCTGAATCCATCTCCAGTGTGTAGTTCCTGGGGTTTGTGTTAGTTACGATTAGCTCCAGAGCCTCAGGTGTTGGATTAACAAGGGGAAGTTTTAGCTGGATCCATCTGAAACACCCCAAAAAATATTAATGAGGTGAAGAATGTCAAAGACMATAAAAACATTAAAGTATTAGTTTTAAAGCTGCAAAATAAAGTTTAGTGCGCAGAGGGGCACGGTCAACAATTTGCATTGGTTTTCAATGCAAAGTATTGACCGTGCTCCTCTGGTACCATTTTGTGCCCCCTATAAGGGAAGTCCATGGTCAAGAACAGGTACCAGAGGGGCACGGCCAACACTTTGCATTGCTTTTCAACACAAAGTTTGGACCGTGCTCCTTTGGTACCATTTTGTGCCCCCTGTAAGGGAAGTCCACGGGCAAGAACGGGCACCAGTGGGGCACAGACAATGCATTTCTATGTAACCCAATGCAAAGTATTGACCGTGCTCCTCTGGTACCATTTCGTGCCCCCTATAAGGGAAGTACACGGACATGGATCGGTACCAGAGGGGCACGGACAATGCATTTCTATGTAACCCAACGCAAAGTRTTGACCACCCTCCTTTTGTTCCATTTCATGCCCCCATAAGGCCCCCTATAAGGAAAGTCCACGGGAAAGAACGGGTACCAGAGGCAGTGGTGGACAAAGTACTAAACTCTAGTACTTGAGTAAAAGTATTGATACTCATGGTCAAATCTACTCAACTACAAGTAAAAGTTACTCGGTCAAAAATCTACTCAGGTTAAAGTACTGAAGTACTTACTTTTGAAAATACTTAAGTATTCATAAGTACATGCATTTAAAAATACTCAAGTATTCAAAAGTACAAATTAAAATGTCTAATATCAGTACACTGCTGTATTGTTTTCAGAGTGATTTTACAGAACCTTGTAACTCAGAAAAAAACCTGATGTATCGACACATAGAACCACTGTGGTACAAATTCTACACCACCTGTAAAGACTTCAGCATAAAAATGCAATAAAGTGAGAGGTGAGCTCTTAAATGCAGAAATGTAGTTTATCCAGATGAACACAGTAGACATTTAAACYGATAGGAACTATTTTTCAGTCATAAATCTCAAACATTGATATGGCCATGGGTGCACTGGTTTCTCCGCTTGAGTTTCTTCAACCGTCTCCATTGCTGGGTTCTGTTTGAAATGAAGATGGGAGCTCAGGCTCAACTTGCATCAGTTAGCAAAGATGACGTAATTCCAAATCTCTCCGTGGTGTGAGCTACAACTCTAATTGGTTTCCCCTGTGAGGAACATAGTGTGGCATTTCAAGAAATAATAACTGCAACAGCGGATTACAAAGCTATACTGAACCAAAAGTAACAAATAACTAACATCTTTCTAGAAATGTAGTGGAGTAAAAAGTACAATATTTGAGTGAAAGTCTTAAGTACCCCGAAAAACAATTACTCAAGTAAAGTAAAGATACTCAAACAACGTACTTAAGTACAGTACTCAAGTAAATGTACTCCACTACTGTCCACCACTGTCTGAAGGAATGATTTGATTTGAATGTAGTTTGGTAAATGTGAAGATAACTTAAGTACAGAATCATGTTTTCTCCAGCTCATAACTTTAAATAAACTGTGTGTTTGTGTACATGCACCTACCTGCCAAGCAGACAGCGAGTCTTTGGTAGCTTGTTGACCGGAGGGGGGAGAATGTACATATCCAGCTGGTACCAGAACTCCCTGACCTGCTCCGACTGGAACACCACGCTAAAGGCAAACCAAACCGACACTATCAGGCACAGCTAACCAAAAAGTTAGCATCGCTAACTCCCAATCTGCTAACTAAAAGATTAGCTTTGCAAATGCTAATCTGCTAAGAAAATTCGCAGGAGCTCCGGCTAACTGCAAACCCAAGGTCTGTTATTTAAACTGGTATCCACAGAAACATCCGAATCTGGCTAAAAGCTCATAAAAAATGTTCTATGGCTGTGTCTAAATTCAGGGGCTGTGTCCTAATTGAGCCAATTTTCTACATAATTAGCTAAAAACTGACATACTAGTAGCTGAGAGTGGGCTCTATCACAAACAGTAGACAAAAACAACTATCCAAGATGACCACCAAAGCTAATTTTAAACTTTTTTTAATTCAGTCAATTTTCAGTATAATGAGCTAAAAACTGATTTACTAGTAGTTGAGAGTGCGCTCTATCCCAAATAGCAACTGAAAAAACTATTCAAGATGGCCACCAAAGCTAGTTTCAAAGGGCTTTAACTCAGCCAGTGTTTGATATGTTGAGCTAGAGGTTGTTTGGTAGCTGAGAGCAATTATAGGCTACGTTCACACTGCAGGTCTTAATGCTCAGTTCCGATTTTTTGAAAAAAATCCAATCTTTTGGTGTGAACGTTCACATTAGATTTTAAAAGTGACCTGCATCAGACTCCTGTGTGAACGCTCCACAGCACTGATGTGACATGCATGTGCAGAAGAAAACGTGTCAGAACGTGACGTGGCACGCAGCACCCTGTGTTTGCGGAAGTAAACATGGACACGACAGTTTTGTGTTCGGTAATTTTGGAGTTGTTTTGCAATCGGGGAAAACTAAACATCCAAATGTTTAAAGGCAAAAGAAAACTGAGAAGAAAGAGAGCTAAAATTTTAGTCATGGCGATTTTTGGAGCTCTGGCTGCTACCTCTGTTCAGAGGGGTGTGTGGATGCGGAGTAGAAGCCAAGAGTGGTGGGACTTCGACGTGAGAGACTTAAGTGACACACAATTTCYTGAAAATTTCAGGATGTCAAGACAGACGTTTGAATACATCTGTCTGGGGCGGCTGTGGCGGAGTGGTTAGGGGAGTCGTCCTGGAACGACAAATGACAACAAATGAAAATCTCAAATTCAGCATATCAGAAAATTAGAATATTACTGAAGACCAATAAAAACAAAGGATTTATAGAAATGTTGGAGTATGAACATGAAAAGTATGAGCATGTACAGCACTCAGTATTTAGTTGGGGCTCCTTTGGCCTGTATTACTGC